TCTCTCTCTCTCTCTCCACGTAGAAACGAGAATGAATCTTCCTCGTTATCGCAGAAGATTCATTCTCATTTCTACGTGGAGAGAGAGAGAGAGAGACCTTCTCTTCTCTCTCTCTCTCTCTCTCTCTCTCTCTCTCTCTCTCTCATTCTTCCCCCCCCCCGCCGCTGCCGCATTCGTCTTCTTTTTCGTTCATTATTTTTCATTCTCATCGACGGTTGTTTGTTTGTTTGTTTTTTGTTCTTTTTTTTTTTTTTTGCCCGTTTTTTGGTAATATGGGCTGTTGGCCGGTGGGTACCCCGCCCGACGTGGCGCGTTAACGGCGGCGTCAGCTTTTCCAAGTTGGGCGAGTTACTGGTGGTTTATTAAGCCGAAGTAATTGAGTTACGTGTCACACATGGGTAGAACGGTATTCAAGGCCTTCTTATTATCATTATAATATTATGGAGAACCTTGTAGCAGCCACAGCGTGATCAACCAAGAAACATGCGGGAGCTGCAGCCACCAGCAGGTGGGAGATACCGCCTAGGGTTCAGCTGGTAGTGTTAGGACCTAGCTTCTTCGATAGGCCCGTTGTTGTGCCTCCCCTCCGTCCCCTTCCCCTACGAAGATGAGCAATCTCTGCTCAATGCCACTCAGGGGAACCAATGGCCTTTCTCTAGGTAGGGGGCGTGAAGTTTGCCCAGGAACGTACATGAGGGCAATAGGGATTGAACCCAAGACCACCTGAATGTCACTTGCATACCTTACCAACTGAAGGCATACTCATTCTAGCGTATACGAGGGCATACTCACACTAGCACGTACAATCGCCAACTATATGTGAGCCAATTTGTGATTATGCTGCACTTCCCAGTCCCACAGCACACCCGTACATATCACAAAACAGATAGGACACAGTCTCGACCTGCTCTAGGAATGCTATCATACGGGGTCGAGGGGTCACACAGCAGGATGCATAAAAGTCCATCATTTTTTCCTGTTTGTTTTCGGAGAGAAACGAGTCTAAAAGAAATACGCAAAAAGGCTTCATCGCGTCGCGAAAAGGCGTCATCAGTCTCTTCTCGTGGGACGCACCGTCACGAAAAGGCTTCATCGCGTGACAAGGACGAAGAGAATGTTGTATGTGACACCCGTGGGGTGCCGTCCTCCAGCCATTGTCCCGATGGGGATGACGGGGATGACGAACGTGAGGGGAAGTCGAGTGAACAGGGCGCCGAGGAAGGAAGTACGCAGGGCGAGGCCACGGAGGACGATGGTGATGAGCGGGAGAGAGGCGAGGACGATGGGGACGACAATACAAGAGAGGACGAGGGGGGTGAAGACGAAGGGGAGAACGGCAAGGAGGAGAAGAACGAGGGAGATGCAGAAGAAACAACTGCACACGAACACAAGAACAAAGGCAGAGACGAGAAGAGCGAAGAGGAAGAAAGCGGTGGGGAAACAAACCGGGACGTCGAAGTCGCCGACACACAAGCATCAGCGAACTCGCGCAAACAAAAAATGAAAAGTGAGCGACGTCGGACAGAGATACTTGGTTTGGGCGCGTCTCATACCGCATACGTGCAACATTTAGAAAGACAATCGGAAAAAAATGAGAAAGAAAGGCCTGAGCGGGCCACGAAAAATGCAAAGAAAAAGTCATAGTCGAAGGAACGAAAGAGGTTGCTGACTCCGGTGACGAAGGAGTTGGGGTTGACCCGAGAGACCACACCGCGAGAGCCGGGAAGCTGGAATCGGCCGCCTTCGACACAACAACTTGTTTCTTCCTGGAGTACGACAGTGACGGGAATGCAGTGCAACGACCTCAAGAGATCTACGTGGACTGCATGAAGATTTTGCCAAACCCCGTGGGAGGCCCTGTGCAGTACAATGTCAGACCGCTGAATGACATGCTCGTCGTTTCCATCATGAGAGCAATGGAACTGCCAGAGAAGAAGAGAGAGTGGGATAGGGCCACATGAATATTGGCGCGAGTGACGGAAGTGGATGTTCATGGTCAAAAGCAGTGGGTGCGTGTGAGACCTGAACATTTCGACGCGGATGACATGCACACGTACCATTGGTACGCTGTGGGTGGACAACACACGGCGGAGGCTTGTCGGCGACTGGTTGCGGCCAATTCACCGGCTGCGCAGAAGTGGGGTGTGCGTTCATGGCGTGCACGTGCTGTGTATTTCGATGATAACAATCTCGACGGATATGCTCACATTTCGACTTTCGATAACACAAGGGAGACACGAGCTATCCCGGATTCGTTCGGTGTGTCGGTGAAAAATATCAGAGACTTGTGGGTTGACATGGGGATGCCTTCTAGCGATTGGCAACACGCACCGCCGGAAGCGGATAAGGAGGCCTTGAGAGATAACTATCATAAATTCTTTCGCACAGTTGTCCGGCTGACTGCTAACTCCGAACTGCGAGGGCAAACACTGAAGCCGACCTACAACACGAATTGGTCGAATTTAGTGAGATCGCATCTTACGTTGGCAACGGTTGGCAGCAGAGTGTGGGACCTTCTAACCCGATTCTTTGACTCGTGGGAGGCGGGACTCTTGCCTGATAAGACAGGCGTGCCTCCGGTGGATCAGCAAGGGAAACAAGTTGTCATAGCTGGTCCCATTCGCGTTGTCATTAAAAGGCAAGAAGGAGCTGGTGCACTACGTCCAGTCCAACAAATCGCCTGACGGGCTCTACGTCTGCATTCGAGACCCTCCGCAAAGCGCGTGGAAGGTGTTCGGAGACTTGACTGCAATGGAGAAGGAAATGGTGTTGGACATGATATTGGATCGCCAGGTGGTTGTCATAACGGGGCGGACGTTCAACAAGAACTTGTTGAACATGCACGACATTCGGGTTGAGGTTCAGCGTGAGAGATACATGATACGCCTCTTCAACTATGTGGTTTTCAAAACGGAAGGTCGCAAGGAGGACGAGTGGAACGATGAGTTTTTCATTGGCTACTCGCGTATAATGGACAGATTTACCCTGGCGGGACTCACCAAGGAACAATGGGAGGAAAACAAGACGAAGGTGCCAGCTCACAAGGCGAAAGATGTGCCAAAACATCTAGGCGGCATTGACGAACCAAAGGTGGGCAAGGTGGGAGGGCTCAAGTTGACGCGGACACTATATGCGGAGTGTCCGTATTATGTGAAAGTGTTCATGCATGAAATCATCGGGGCTATCGACTAGCTACAGGACGAGTTGCGGCGCATAAGTGCAAATGCGCGGCAGGTGATGTGGGACACAAGCAACGATCACACTACGTTTCTTCCGATATGCTTGGCACCATACGAGGCACTGCAACCATCAGAGGAGATCACACGAGCAGTTAAGAAGCTCAATTGCCGCCTCGCAGTCCTGGACCTGTGCCCGCGCAAGTCGACAACCCCACACGAGTGGTCAGATGAGAGATTCGTAGTGCTGCCAGAGATGATGAACACCTTCTGTGGCACGGATTGGGTCATTGTCATATTCTCGACGTTAAGAGTCGAGCAAACTGTATTGAAAAACGTGCTTCGTTGGGATCACGTCAAAGTGATTCCAAGTCGGTGGGAGAGACATTTTGGGAAGGACCAATATGTCGTTCCCGCTGGAAATCTTCCACTGCGACCTCGGGACTGCATGACCATTGTCATGCATGCGTCGAACAATGACTACAAGAAGGTGACTGTCCAGCCACGGAACCATGTCACGTGGTTCGATGATAACGTGAAGGAGGACTTATTTGTGCAATTCACGAACGAGCATGTTGGGATATCAGGCGATACAAAAGCCGTGTACGGGCACTGGGAGAGAGAGCCAAAAAAAATGAAGGAATTGTGCAAATGGTTTGCAAAGGATGGCGAGGGTCATTAGGCAATGGAGGGGATACAAACAAATGTCGTGGCAATCCAGGAGAGCATTCGTGGTGGGGAGCAGAGGTCGTATGAACAAGGAATGCAAGAGAGTGCAGGGAATGAGATACGGGGGCCAGTTGGTGCAGGCAGTGCCTGCCCCATAAACGTGACCGGCACCGGTCACCAACCCGTGACCGGCCGGTCACTGGGCCTAAATCCCGTGAACGGCCGTTCACGGGGGTCGTTCACGAGGTTTACGCCCGCGGGGGCGGCGGTTCGGTCGGGATAAGGGCGGGAGGGGGGTGGTGCGGGGCCCTTCTACACCCCCGTACCTT